CAATTCAGTTTGGTTTTGGTCAGCTTCTTCAATCGCAGGTTGGTGCGCGAAGCCCTTGCAAAGGCCTTGAGGCGTGATGTAGCTTCAGCAAGTCGTAGCTCGATTCTCCGGCCAGGAAACATGCGTTGTTCCCCAAGTACAATCCGAAGAATACTTCCACACATATCTCTTCCCACTCCTAAGTGGAAGAGATGCAATAAGTCACCATGGATCATTTCTGGGCCCTGGAACCCGACAAGATCTTGGTATGGGGGTGGGCAGTCGTCTGGCCAAGGGTTTGACGCACCCTGCGTGGCCCACCAAGGTGCCACAGGGCGTCCGTCTGTGAACGTGAGAGGCTCGGTGCCGGGCTCACCTTTCGTGGCCAGGCACAGCCAGCAAATCTGGCAGGGTGACGAGTTCGCATTCGGTCCAAAAAACAGCTAGCTCAATGTTTTGTTCGGTTGCCCAAAAATTCCCCTGCCTCATTCGTAGAGTAGTGGCGAACGAAGTGAAACGATTGCTTCAATGCTTTCCAATCACCACGAAAGCCAGTGACAAAGAAGAAGAGGAGTAAAACCTGATGAAGCACTTTGCGAATTCTCACGCCCGCGCCTGCGCCCGCCCGCGCAGAGACACACGCACACACAAGCACCCAAGCGCGCACGCGCGCACGCACGCACGAATGCTCGCTCACACAGATACGCACACACCCACACACACACACACACGCACGCACGCACGCACACCCACGCACCCACCCACCCACCCGCACACACACACGCACACACGCGCGCGCACGCAAACACGCAAACACGCACGCGCTCACGAACACACAGGCACGCGCACGCCCACACGCACACGGGCGCACGGATCCAAAACACAGCGCACGACACACACACACACACACATTATTTTTTAAAAAAAGACACCAAACAAGCGCATGCGAAAGCAAGCATGGACACGCAACTGCATGAGCACGCGGCCACGCACAACATCAACACAATTGCAGCACAGACAGACACAGACACACACAAACACACACACACACACACACACAAATTGGCAAGCGAGCAAACAAACAGCCACAGATCCCAGACACAAAAATACACGAACACAACATCATGTCAACACGCAAGAACAGAAACACGAACATACACATACACACGCAAAAACACGCACACACAAACGCACACACACACACACGCGCACAAACACGCAAAGCGCAAGCGGGCTAGCCAAAGCACAAACGTGCGCCGCACTGACACAGACGCACACACTGGCATACGCAACCGAACTTCGGACAAGGCGCTTGCTTGTTTCCGCGACTGGGAAGGTCGCACAACGGCACACCGGTCAGGGATAGCTTGTTGAAGCTTTCCGTAATGTGTTTCATAGCGGCATCCAGGGTGATGTTGTACCCGGACTCATCAAAGGCGTACAAGCTAGCGGGAACCAGGCAAATCAGGAACCGGCTCGCTGCCGAGTTGGTTAAGAACGGTGACGTATCACTGCTCCACATGTAATGCATCCACAGTTCGCCCTGGCTTTTCCCTTCATCACCTTGGTTGTTCCAGATTCCAGGGCCCCTCAAACCACACATGTAAATTTGGCCACGGTCAAAGTTCCCTCGCTTTGCAAAGTGAGGCGCAATAGAGCGTGCAGCCCAAAGACTGCGTCCGTTTGTTTCCAAACCCAACGGGGTGGTTCGGGAAGTCCATCAAAAAGTTATCCCAGAACTCAGGGAGCTCCCTCAAATCCTTCGCCAACGCATTCAAGTGCCCGTTGGTGATCAACGATTCGACCTCCAGTGGTAACTAACAAGAATGTTTGACACCAGTTCAAACCTACTGCAGAAGAAGGGTTTAGTTGCAAACAAGGGGCGAAATCATGTGGGAGAAGAAAGGGCCACTGAACATCATGAACAGGGGAGTTATCCGTGGGTTCCTTCTTCATAGGAACTGTCAGCCATCGAATGCGGCATGGCAATCCAATGTCGTTTTGATGAGCTCGCTCGTGTAGACCGCGTTCACGATCAGAACTCAGCTCAGGCCAAGACATATGGCATGTGCTTCAAGAACTGCGGATGGCGTGGAAGCCCGGAGCGCTTATTCGCCAGGGCGCGTAACAACTCGGCTACTGTAAACCGGAGCCCGAGACTGGACTTGACATGTACCTTGGTTGCAATCAAAGCAAGGGAAACGTCACTCTCGGGAACGGACACCGAGTAACAACGGTGACCTATGACATGGAACAGTTCCTACGTTCCTGTGTCGACCGCTATCTTGAAGTGGCGGGCGACGTGAAGTTGAATAAGGTTGTCACCCCTGAGTTGCATGAAGAAACAAAGAATCACGTCTCACGGAAGCCTGCCAGAGAGGGGCCGTCAGTCGTGTGCAATTGGTGTAACAATCTTGTGCCCACCGACGGTTCTGCCACAGTGCCGGACCAACGGGGAGGGACTCCTGAGTTGGCCATGAAGGAGCCCGTGCGTGGACACCTTGCTCCGCATGCCGCTAGCGTACTGATGAAGTTGCTGTACGGTGCGCGGATTGCTCGCTTCGATTTGTTGCGGCAAGTGAATCGCCTAGCACGGAACGTGCATAGGTGGACTGACTCCGATGATCGGGGTTTGCATCACTTGATGTGCTATGTGCATCATACCAAACATTGGCGCATGGTCGGTTGGGTTGGAGACCCTATCGACGATGTGCACTTGGCCTTGTATGCGGACGCTGACTTTGCGGGATGCATTGACTCGCTGCGTTCCACCTCCGGTGGACACTTGAATATACAAGGGCCTAATACCCGGTTTCCGTTGTCTGGCAGCTCTAAAAGACAGGGTTGTGTGAGTCACTCCACTCCCGAGGCCGAGATTGTTGCGGCCGACGTTGCCATGAGATCGATGGGTATGCCCGCTCTCAAGTTGGTAGAGCGGATTCTCAAGAAGTCACCGAACTTTGTGTTCTATGACGATAATAAGGCTAGGGAGGTTGGCTTTGGGCACGTTTTTTGAGAAGGGGTTGAAACATAGGAGTTTGAGATGGGGGCACCCCTTCAAATTGAAATTCAGATTCAAAAAGAACAAATTCTAGATTCTATATTTTGGTGGCACTGACTAACTCAAGAAGCGTGTCAGAAGGGAAGATGACAAAACAGCCTGACACAGCGTTCTGCCAAGGCACGCACGGTCCAAGTCCGCGCGCAAGTCCGTCAATGGGTTTGGCACACTGATCGCACCTGCGTGGCTCATCCGGAAACAAGTAATCCAACAAACACATACAAGCTTTCCAAATGCTCAAAGCCATATGCGTGCAGGACATTTTCAGCCAGCGTAGACACCCCATCGATGGATCAGACGTGTGTAATGCACATGGTAGGCTCAAAATGCGTGCGCAGCAGCAGTGCCATAGGCTCTGCCAACTTTTCACTACCACACGGAAAAGTAGCGCACCGCCACTTGCCACTCCTTGAGATTAAAGCGAAAATGCGATGCCTCACTGCTTCTTAGCGATAGCGGCTTTCTTCCTCTCTGCGATCACCGCACGCGCCTGCGCCCGAATCTCCTTAGACTCATCGCACAGGTCGTCACTGGTCCCCTTGAGCGTGTAGATGGCATCCTCCGCAGCGCACTTAAGCCTTGGGTCACACGCACAAGCCCTACATGCTGCAGCACACACTGTTGCCATTGGGCTTAAAAATAGCCCAAGCAGCGCTTCAACGCCATCCTTAATGCGCGACTGCATGGACTCAAGGCTATTCCGCAAAGCATGCCCAGGTGGAAGCTCCAAGCCCATCGAGCACGCTCTGTGCTCCGCAAGAAGGACCGTCTTGCACTCTTCGCGCACGTCCTCCCACGTTTTGGCCTGCTGCTGCGTGACCTTCTTGCTTTTGCGAGCGCCGCCACCACCACCGCCGCTGTTCTTGCGTTTGTTCTCGCTGCCTCCTGCAAAAGAGCGCAACACCTTTTAGATACGTGTGTGTTGGGCGCGAAACTATCTGTGTGAATTTTAAATGTATCATGTGTCTAGTCCTTGCAGCACGGTGTTTTGCGTTCAGCTGATTTGGGAAACTAAGCTTAAGCCATTCGCACGCCTGTCCTGCGTTGTTCTCCTCAGCGCCATTCATCGCGGACACGAGATCTGTCAGGCTGGGCTGGTTAGTAGACGTCGGCACGGCCGCAGGATCCACACCCCCTACCAAGGAAGCAACGCCTGCGCTAGTCGCCGCCACATTGAACCGCGCCTCGCCAGTCTGCGTGGTCTTGCGCCTGTCATTGAACTCACCACCGGTCGAAGCCCAAAACCGCACGGACAGCGGATCATCTGGCGCGTCCGGATCAGCAATGCCGCCTCTCCGTACCAGAGCATCGATTTTTCGCCTCAGACATTGTCAAAAGTAAGTAAGCCCCTTTTGGGGCATGTCCTCTTGTCGAGCAAGGGTTCATATTTTTTACAAACCGAGATTCAGGGCTAATATTACAAGACCCCTCCTTGGCACATAGATCACATAGAATTGGGACCATGTTCAAACTAAAATCTTCGGCGGGTGCAGAAACTTTGGGGTTCGCGCAAGGGTCCCCTTTTTGTTGAACCATGGAAAAAGGGCTGCACCCCCTTACACAGAATTTCGGGACCATGTTCAAACCATAAGATCCGGCGGATAAAGAACAAGTTTGGGAAAATAAGCTGAATCATGATAGAGTCGCTGGGAGAATTTGCGGTCCCGCATCTCTTGCATTGTCAGAAGCTCCTGCTTCTGATTGACCTCCTGTTCGCTGGTTTTCTGCAGCGTGAGGGTGGCTTCGCAAGCGGCTAGCACACCTCCGGTCCGAATCCATTCTTTCAGCAGCTTGTTGCGCTCCTGTTCGGAGTTTCGCTAGAAAGAACACACAACTATACCAACTACACAGTGTTGAAACTAACTTGCAAACAGTGTTGAAACGATTTTGCGATGTGGCTCAAACTAGACCACTCCTTGTGTGAGCCTTGCCACAGAGTTTGCATTTGTGGAAAAGACGCCTTGTCTGCGCCCTCCATGCGGCGGGTCAGCGCCATCCATTCTTTCTTGTGGGAGGAGCTGTTGATGCGAACCTCAGCATTGTTGGTCGCATCCATAGCGACCTCCTGCACGTCGTCGTCGGGCTTGTTCTGGCCTGTGTTGGCGTGGGGCTCCACGCCCTTGCCAGAGTTGGCGCTGGGGGTGGTGGCCGGCTTGTCCTTAAGGTTCTCGTTGGTGGTCGGCTTCTCGACGGTGGCCGACTGGCCCTGGATCCGCATGAGCTGAACCACCTGTTGCAGCTCCTGTTGGTGCTTGGTCTCGACGGTGGCGCGCTTGGTCTCGACGGCGGCGTCCTTGGTCTCGACGGTGAGCGGCTGGTTGGTCTCCACGGTCTCGACGGTGGCGGGGCTCTTGCTAGCCTTGAGGCTTTGCTTCAGCTCCGGCTCCGAAGAAGCGTTCATTCTGCGGTACTTGTCCCATCCAGCCCAGGGCTTGTGCGCTTTGTCGGTGCTACTGTTGTTGCCGGTGTCATTGGCGGTGGCGGTGTTCTTGGCGATGTCCTTGGCGACGTCCTTGGCGTTGGCGGAGCTGCCAATGGCCTGGAGGACGAGCTGCGCCAGCATGTTGACGTCGACTGCAGTGGCCGGCGCCGTTTGAGAAGCGCTGTCACCCGGCGCCCTAGGGCAAGTTGCGTCGGGGCGTGTGTGTGGCGAAAAAAAAGAATGTGAAAATAGTGGGGATTCGTGAAAGGGATTGCGCTGGCATAGGCAAAGCACACATCGGACTCGACCTCCTCGGGGGAGGGCAGCGCCGCCAAGTCTTTGGGAACGTTCGACCCAATCTGCTTGTTCACAACTGACTGCCCGAGCATGAGCGTGGGGCAGGACCTAACACGCACATCAGAAACTGTTTGACTGAAATATTCAAACAACTTCAAACTATGTTTCGAAAATGCAAACAGCAATATTGTCCGATGACAGGGTGAGCCGAAGGGCCCAAGTGACTGGTCACTCTCAGAGCGCACCAGCAAAGCATCCGTGAGCGTGCGTGGCTTGGTGTCTGCGGGCTTGGTGACCTTGGTGTCTGCTGCGGGCTTTGTGGCCTCCTTGGTGTCCGCGGGCTTGGCATCCATGGGCACGGCGTTTAGGGTGTCATCCTCGATGGTCTCTGGGGCGAAGATGCTCGTCGGCGATGTGTGCCTCAGGCAGCTGTGTCTCTGCCTGCGACGGGTCCCACACATTGGGTCGTGGCCCGCACACTTCCTGCAAGGCCTGCTCCGCATCGGATCGGGTCAGGCCATACTGCTTCATGATCGCGTCAATGTTGTCCCAGCGCACCCAGTTGGCGGGCTTGCTCTCATCCTGCGGTGTGGCTTCCAAGGTTGGAGCGGCTGGCGTGGCTTCTGGTGCTGGGGTGGCTGCATTTGGGGCTTCTGCTTCCAAGGCTGGAGCAGCAGGTGCGGGGGCTTCTGGCGCCGGGGTGCCTGGGGTCGGGGCTTCTGCAGCCACCAGCTGTGTGCTGTCTGGGTCTGGGTCTGTTGGCGTTGGCTGTGCCTTGGCCTTCGCTTTGCTCTTTCCTTTTGCTTTGGCCTTGCTTTTGGCCTTTGCTTTTGCGGCTTTTGGCGCCGGCTCTTCCGTGTCAGGGTCAGTGGTGGTCTTGCGTTTCTTTGGCGCGCTGGACGGTGTGCTCTCCGCGGTGGTGCTGACATCACTGGAGCTGCTTGCAGCCTTGGCGTCGCGAAGAGCGGCTTCAATGCTAGCTCGCAGCTCTGGCGGGAGGTCAGCCATGTTCACGGTGTCCATACTGTGGGATCGGCTCCACACGAAGGCAACTATAGGGGCCGAGCGATCCTCTAAGCAGCAAGCAACTCGTGGAACAGAACAATCCCGTGATCACGCCAATGATCGAGGCTTGTTACGTGAAAACGCCGTGAATATTCATGGAATTTTCACACCCCGAATCCGGTCGCTTGAAAAAACACGTCGAAGCGTGAAAACGCCGTGAATATTCATGGAATTTTCACACCGGTCGATTAAAGAAAACATCGAAGCGTGAAAACGCCGTGAATATTCATGGAATTTTCACGCCCAGGTCGCGTGAAAAAAACATCGAAGCTTGTTACGTGAAACGGCGGTGGATATTCCTGGAATTTTCACACCCCCGAATCGGTTGCGTGAAAAAACACATCGAAGCTTGTTGCGTGAATGCAATTGTCACACAGCGAACCGGTTGCGTGATAAACATATCGAAGCTTGTTGTGTGAAACCGCTGTGAATCTTCATGCAATTTTCACACCCCGAGTTGGGTTGCGTGGAAAACAAAAGTAGGGGTGTACGTCACACCTCAACAAGGATACAGTCATGATTCTTCATGTGATTTTCATACCTCAAACCGGACAGTGTGAAACACTGTGAATTTTCATGGACAGTTCACACCTTTGAACGCGGGTGACATTTTCACACCCTTAAGGGGTGTACAACAAGTCACACTCGGGGCATCGTACAAACAGCGAGCAAACTGGGGTTTGTGGTTTTCACGTTTTTCACGGGTGAATAACGTCCAGGAGGCCGTGAATAACGGCCAAATCACGGGATTTTCACGCCATCGGTCGGCGACGGTTTTTACCCCTATCCGTGCCCAGGCTATGTACCACCGCGATCACACAGCTCACTTCCGGAGCCCCAGTGTGCGCAACACTTCATCCTGGGTTTGAGTAGGGCACAGGGTAGCACATAGAATGGGCATTTTGTTTTACCCACCACTCATTGGTGTGAATTTTGCATAGTCGGCCAAGGCAATCAGACATAAAGCGACATGTTCCAGCCACGGCACCCATTGGCCCGGAACAACGAGATATTTGCATCGCACCAGGTAGTGGATCACTGAAGCCATATCAGCCTCGGAATGTTTCTAGACAACGGCTTGGGTTTGTGGATATACACCAAAGCACTTGTGGGAACTGGTTTCCGGAAAGCTGGTTTAAACGTTTTTCAAGGTTCGTGAAGACACCTCTCGATTTGAACTACAAATTTCTGGAAAGCAAGTCTGAAGGTTCCTTGCGAAACCTTTCATTGGGGAGCTTGGGACACACAGGCGTTTGCCGGCTTTGCGAGTTTCTGGTTTTCCGATGGTTGAACCATGGTTCAAGGGTCCTCAACATTTTCCGATTTAGGAACGTTCCATAATATATCACGGGGCGAACGATCGCCTCATTCGTTGGGAGAACGGAAACACTTGCAAACTCACGCAGCAACGTCCCTGCTTTGCAAAAGCTGCAACACAACCTTTGTTGGCCAGGGGGCTTCGTTCCACTGGTCACCCAACAAGTCCAGGTTTTCCCCGGGATGGCCCATGCAAGCTTCGACGAAGAGCTCCCGGTCCGACAGCGTAGCATCGACTGTCTCAGGATCCGTCTGCGCCGGCAAAGGCTCCTCGGTTTGCAGGGGGGGGGGTTGCGCCGGACGCAAGATCTTCCAGCCCAAGGATGTTTGTTGAAGGAGTTGGTTTTCTCAGACCCAAATCCAGCAGCCACAAAAGCCCTGTCCACAAAAATAACCTGTGTCACTGTTGTCGCAGTTGTGTTCACTGTTCGCCGTTTGACATCTGGGGGAAAAACTTTAAGTACCATGTGTGTAGCAAGTGCGAGGTGAAGCCACCTTGGTGCACTCACAGGTTGTTTTCATTGATCTACATTTGCAAAGCTTTGCCACACGCTTTCAGTTGCACATTGGCGTGAGCCAACAACATACCATTAATGACCTGTATTCTTTCCATTTGAGAGGAACATACTCCTCCCACCATACACAGACTCAACAGGGCAGATCATTTTCTTGACGGTCTCCAAGCAAGACACAGACTTTGTCATGACAAAATGAACAAAGGTGGGGACTGTTGGTCGATTCAGCACACAACCCCCCCGACTCGACGTCAAGGAGAATTCACAGCTGCGCAAGTTAACGGTACCCTTTTCACGCCGCCCGTCCAAAATTAAAATTGAGCAGCTGTGCCTGCAAGGCTTTGGGTCCGCGACTGAAGTCTCCAAAACCCAATGGTTCCATGAAAAGTGCCCACCATGAACCAGCTAGAGGGTCCATGGATCAAAGACAAATCACGCAACTTGTTTTGAAAGGGTTGTTTGGAGGAACTTGCGAGCTCCAGACAGTGTGGAACCCATAAAAATGCCGACTAGGCTCAGCTTGTAGGTCACGCAGCAAACCAGTGACGTACTGGCTAAACGATCTGGTGTATTTCCTCAATCGCAGGCAGCCATCGTGGGTCTCCATGAACCTCTAACCATATGTTAAATGGCTGTTCCCTTTTTGATACTACTACCCTCAGTGGAACATGCCCCAACGTGGAAGCTCTGCGGCATGAGGCCAAGACGCTGCGAATCACGAAGCTCCTTCTTCAGGCCAGCGTGTCGGCGGACACCATGGGAATCAACGTACTTTCGAGCGAGCCGGGTGGGCATGTTGTTCTGCTGTTCACGAGTCACTGTCCCGGCACGGTCAACAAGTGCTTGAACCAGTTTTTCGCAATTGCTCCATATCATATGCCCTTTGGGAGAGGGGGCGTCAAAGCATCCCATATAGAATATGCCCTTGTACACCTGCGCTGGCAAGAGTTGGTTAGGGATTGGAAAATCAATCGTACCCACATGAAAATGATTTTGCAGGAAGAACACTTGGTTTGCAAAAAAAGACACCACCACCCCCCTCAATACAAGAAACCGCCCCTCTAAAAAAATCGCGCCCAAGGGTGGAGGGAGGGAGGGCGGGGAGGGAGGGAGGGAGAGAGAAACAAACAACAACTGAAGGGAGTTAACACAGAAAGAAGAACACAACACGTGAAAAACACCACAGAGAACGTCCGTGATTGGAGAGAGCGAGAGTGATAGAGAGAGAGAGAGAGACAGATTTTCAGGCAGCTTTGGGTTCCCCCCAACTCTCCTAAAGGGGCCCTGCTGTGTGAGAAACACAAGGGGCCCAAAACAATTTGCACTTGCTTCGCGCACGTTGTTTGTTTGGAAGGGGCGCCTCATAAATGGAAAGCACGTTGCCCCGAAACGGGCACCAAAGCAATGCTTGATATTATGGGGCGCAATTATGCGCAAAGCGCAAAACTGATTGTAGTTTAAGCAAGCGCGCCTCCATGTGGCGCCAAATTTGCTGAAGTCTTGGCATGTTGGGTAGAAAGCTTGTCCTGGGCTGCTCTATCGCCCACCGTAGTCCCCGCCAGGCAGCAACATATAATATCAGAGCAACACGGGCGCATAAAGTGTTTCCAGCACTCACGAAGTTATATCCAGTATGTCCTTCTGGCTTCACGTGTGTTCTGCCACTTGTCCACCTTGACCTTACATGCCGCGTGACCTTTTTGTGAGACGAAACGGAAAGGTTTGACTTTAAACATCCAAGCAGCATGCGTGAGAAGCTGCTGCAATCGATCGCAATCATCACAAACCCTCCAGCTTTGCAACGAAGGACTTGCGCCAGGGCCAGCCTCAGCAAACCAAGGGCGTGTGTGTGAACAACACCCTTTTTACCAACACCCCTTTTTATAGCCAAGAAGCGCGAACCCTGCCGCGGACAGCAGGTCCATGGAGACATGGTTGTTGCGGTCGATCTCACTGCCGCGGAAATCGGCCTTGGACAGGCCGGACACGTCGCATCAGGGATGGGGCGCAGGAAAAGACAAGACTGGAAAAAGAAACCCAAGTTTTTCAGATTTGTACACTGCTTCAACTCTTCTGCTGTTCAACAAACAAGATGCCGTGTTTCAGGGTTTGGCAAAACAAAGCCCGAGGTTCCACTGGATGCGTTTGAGGAAACAATCAGGGCAACCTTCCAGGAGGGCCAACAAAACATCGAAATCCAGGTTTTGAGGAAAAACCACGAGGCGCCTCACGAAGTGCTCGAGACAGCTCTCCAGCTCCCGAAAACAGCTCTGTAAAGTGACAGTCCTGCAAACAGGGGCGATGGCGCCAGTATGTTTTGTGTTGGGGTCAACCTTTGCTCAACGTTGGCAACAGCCACCGGCTCCTGAGTCGTGACCAAGCGCTGGTTCCACTGCAGCAGCAGAACAGCAAGGATGAGAATGGGCGGGGCACGCCATTGCAGCAGCTCTTTCACAACCATGTTCACGCACTTCTTCCAAATGCAGCCCTTAAAGCAAAATGCTTCGGTGTTCAAAACCGGATGAGGCTTACTACTCAAGCTGCACGCACGAGTAGCTCAAAGACTCAATAGCAGCGCCACCAACTCCTTATTTTCATCCAGGATTCCAGGGATCGATGGTTCACTAAACGTTCCATCCAAACATCTAGTACAGAACACTCATCACACAACAAGCATTTCCCCAT